TGATCTAGCAGTCAGCTGAAGTAGCCTGCAGTGCTGCATTTAACCACTGCGCCACCTCGGCTCATGTAGTTACCGATGTATTTAAAAAAAACAAGAAGATACTGAGCTATATGCATCTTGGGTTGATAAACAAAGCTACTGTGTTCTGAACAATTAACCAATAAAGAGACAAAAGCAAATAAGCATTGACATGATACTATAGTTCAAGCAGTCCTCATTTAGTGACCACAATTGGGATTGGCAACTCAGTTGTTAAACAAACAGGTTGCTAAGTGAAACTGCAACTGTACCTATGACCATTACTTCAGTTTTCCTTTGTGCTTACAATCTTTACTTCAGCTTTACAAAGGTAAAGGACCCCTACAAAGGTCATAAATGTGAGGACTAGTCACAAAGTTAATTTTCCATCACCACTGCAACTGCAGAGTCGCTAAACAGGGACTACATATAACGTTCAATTGTAATAAAGCAGCAACAAGTTCCACATATCAATTTCTTTAAAAACACAGGCTGTACATAATTCTCCACTTTAATGATGCTCATAAATAAACATTTTCCATACCAATATAGCATCATATGTATGTATATATATATATATTATTTGGCTGCATTTTTTTCAAGTGCTAAAAAAAAATTCAAAAATGAGCACAATCGGTAAAATTGTAATACAAGATTTAAATTAGTTGGTCTTTATGGCACAGCACAATATGTTCAAAGTTTATCTTCTTGGCAAGGAAATGTGGAGTTGACTTGGTGCAGGATACTACCAGCTGTGGTTAAGAGGCGGGACAGCCGAGGTCGAACTCTTATCGTCAAATCACGATTGTAGGAGCACAATCACCGTTCTAGAAAAAACATTCCTTATTTTCTGGTGACAGGGAACAGGGGAAAACGAAGTTGCTGAGAGTTTGTGGGAGGATTGTGGCTGGCTCTTGCTTCTCTAGCGCTTCACAGTTGTGACATTTTACAGATCCTATCCCGACAATACTCCGCTCCTCCAAGTCACATTGGTGTCTCACTGTTGAGGTGCTTGTGGGTGTCATTCTCTTGGTATATTAGATGGTATGGTTTTTCATTCTCTTCAAGGACTGAGTTGCTGAGCTCAGCATCCTGCATCTCCAGCTCATGGCGAGACAGATGCTCTACAACACCAGCACCCAGTGAATCCCCCAGCACATTGACGGTGGTTCTGAGACGGTCTCTGAAAGCAGAAGGAGAAGGAACTGTCAAGTCAAACATTGCTTGGGAGAGGGCTGCAGCTTTCAATGTCAACAGAAGTGTACCTTCAGTCTCACATGGATATTGCAGGATTATTATTATTATTATACAATTGTATCACAACGGCCAGTTGTTTCGCCGGATTTGGCATTGGTTACTAGTCGGGCCCCACCCAGGGGCCTAGGA